ACCGAGGGGTGACCAAGGCGGTGGTGCCAAAGGACCGTCTGGTGCGAGAAGGCGTGACACGAGCAGGGGGCCGACAACTGACCTGACGCAGACGCAGACGCAGCTACCTGAGGGGACTCAGTGGTCAGTGTGTACAGGCCCGACCCCGGCTGCCGAGTGAAGGTAGCCAGGTGACGACCCGTCTGAGCACACGTGCAGTGTGTCACACGCTCGTAGGCAGGGGTGAACTGGTGAACACCCGCGTCCTGGAGCGCAGAACCCGCCACCAAGTTCGTAGAGAACGAGGGGAGGTAAAGACCCGACAGCGTGCCGGACGGGACACCAGGACAAGGGAGGATAGTGGAGGAGGTCGCACGGACTGGACCCCCAGAGAGGTCTGCGAGGGAGACTGGAACCGGCCGACTGAGCGGCGTGAGGGTGGTGATGTCGCGAAAGAAGGAGCGAGAAGCACCAGAGTCAAGTGTGAAGGTGTACAAGGCCTGAGCAAGCGCAGTACCAGAGAGAGCAGACTCACCAGCACCTGGAGCAGCAGCCTCACCAGTACCTAGAGCAGGAGACACACTAGCCCCTAGAGCAGCAGCCTCACCAGCACCTAGAGCAGCAGGCTCTATGCCTGGGTCAGGCGGTACGCACAGGTAACACGCACGGTCAGCACTAGTAGGCAATGCATACATGGCAGTGAGAATAGCATCATAGTCAAGAGCAAATATATCTACACCCAAGCAGCTCCACCCAGTCGGGGAGCTCAGCCTCGTCGCCAAACTCGGTACGCCAGGCGTTGCTCAGACGGGCGAAGCAGCGGGACTGTGTGTGACTGAGCGTCCCGCAAGCCTGACCAGTCCGAGCACCAGTGCGAATGACGTACGGGCAGCGAACGGTACTCAGATACCCTCTACTCTGAGCGTACCACTCACGAAGCTGCTGGGGCGTGCGAGACTCGCGCGGACGTCGCTGGAGCTGCATCTGGCCACCGCCAGTAGCAGCAGTAGTAGTAGTAGCAGCAGTAGCAGCAGTAACAGCAGTAGCAGCAGTAGCAGCAGTAGCAGCGCGGCCACCCCTACAACCCCAACTAGCGTACCACTCACTAAGTTGTTGGGGCGTGAGGGACTCACGCGGACACCGCTGGAGCTGCATCTGGCCACTGTCAGTAGCAGCAGTAGCAGTAGCAGTATCAATAGCAGTAGTAGCAGCAGCAGCGCGTGCAGGGCAGGCGCGGCAGGCAGGCAGGCAGGCAGGAGGCAGGCAGGCAGGCAGGCAGGCAGGCGGCATCGCACGAACAAGGTAGGTGCTCACCAGTGGCAGGCAGGGCCGGCGCTCGGCGGGGCCGCAACAGCGGCCGCAGAGTAGGGCCGCGTCGGCGGTAGGGCAGGTCCGCGACAGCTGCTGTAGGGCGGGGCCGTGACAGCTGCAGGGCGGGGCCGCAACGGCGGCAGAAGGCTCCGCGGCAGCTGCTGCAGGGCGAGGCCGCGACCGCGGCAGGAGGCTCCGCGGCAGCTGCTGCAGGGTGGGGCCGCGACTGCGGCAGAAGGCTCCGCGTCAGCTGCTGCAGGGCAGGGCCGCGACGGCGGCAGGAGGCTCCGCGGCAGCTGCTGCAGGGCAGGGCCGCGACTGTAGTAGGGCACTCCGTGGCAGCTGCTGCAGGAGCGACGGTGGCAGTCAGGCAGGGGCGGCGTCCAGGGGCAGCCGCGAGGAACAGGGGCAGCCGCGGCGCGCGAGGCTGCAGCGCGCTGCGCGAGCTGCGGGCGTGGCGCGCGGGGCTGCAGCGCGACGCGCTAAACCCTAAACGCGGCGCGCAGGGCTGCAGCGCGACGCGCGGGCAGCGAACGCGGCGCGCGGGGCTGCAGCGCGACGCGCGGGCAGCGGACGCGACGCGCGGGGCTGCAGTGCGACGCGCGGGCTGCGGACGCGACGCGCGGGGCTGCAGCACGACTCGCGAGCAGCGGGCGCGTCGCGTGGGGCAGCGACCTGGCCTGACGGGCCTGCAGGGGCGGCTCGCTGGCCTGACGGGCCTGCAGGGGCGGCTAGCGGGCCTGACGGGCCTGCAGGGGCGGCGCTCTGGCCTGACGGGCCTGCAGGGGCGGCTCGCGGGCCTGACGGGCCTGCAGGGACGGCTAGCGGGCCTGACGGGCTTGCAGGGGCGGCTCGCGGGTCGTACGGGCCTGCAGGGACGGCGCGCTGGCCTAGGGCAGCAGTAGGCAGCGCGAGGGCTGCAGGACGGCGCGCGCAGTGCAGCACGTCACAAGGCGAGGCAGGCACGCAGGCAGGCGCACGTGGGGTAGCGTGGTAACCGCAACGGTAGGTGGGCCCGAAAAGTAACGGTCCTACGGACCTAGTGCTCTGAAACCATGTCAGAATCTAGCAGCAGGAAATCAGTGCATTGAACAGAGATGTGGGTACATATGCTAACTCTAATTTGGGTTGTACCCCTTATGGGCTACCCCACTACAGCCTACACAGCACAAGCATTATCATAGTTTGACAACGTTGTGATCTACCCTGAGCTTGCTTTGCATTTCCTGACTGGTCTTGTGACCCTGTGTTCTCCCCCACTTGGCCTATGGGGGTGTGTCAAACATATATCTATGTTTATAGTTTGGGTAGGCTTAGTGGGGTACTCACTGTGGGGTACAACCCCTTATGTTTCTCCTTTGTACCAATCCTCTCGATAGTCAAAACTTCATCCTTGCCTAAGTCTCTAACAAAACCAAGTGGCTGTGACGCCAGTATTGCAATCCGCCTGGCTGCCAGGCCTCCCAGCTCCGCAAACAGGTCCCGCACGCCGAGCCCCCCTTCACTCTTTGGTTTGAACATCAGCTCCTGGCTCCAGAGGGCGAAATGCCTCCCCGTAGATGCCTGATTGCCAGTGATGAAGTTATGAAGCAGCTTAACAATCTTCGCCCAGATTTCCGGCGGTGGCGGGTAGACCTGGCCCTGAAAGGCGAGGACCGGGTTCACGTATCCGTTAACGACAGCAACCCTCGCCGTCGTGGACAGGTAAAGCACTTGTCACTTCACAATTTCCGCGGTTGCTCTCACCAGAGTGATCTCCCAAGTGACAGCCGCATCTCCTGACGGTGAGATCCACACCCCCAGCAGCCTCTCTACTTCCTTCGGCAGGACCCACTTGAAAACTGACTTCTTGTCTGGTTTCCGGCGCAGGTTTTTCCCCAGCGGGAGGAGAGCGGACTTGTCCTTATTCACGTGGAGCCCTGACTTTGCACCGAACTCTTCCAGCAGCTTTACAGCGCGGCCGATCTGTCTTTTCCCTTTCAGCACCAGCGTTGTGTCGTCTGCGTAACCCAAATACGCCAGCCTCTCTCCGTAGATGTGTCAGAGGTCCACTGGTGATCCCCGATTGATCCTAGAGAAGGGTTACAGGCTCGTTGTCCTGGGGGGTTATGGGCGCACTTACCCGCTACTTAAAAAGCCCTTTTATCCCAATGGTCTAGTGGTTGGGATTCTGACATGGTATCAGAGCGAAGGTCTCGGGTTCGAATCCCGGTATGTGCACCTCGGGCATCCCAGTGCGGGGGGGTGTCAGAGGTCCACTGGTGATCCCCGATTGATCCTAGAGAAGGGTTACAGGCTCGTTGTCCTGAGGGGTTATGGGCGCACTGACCCGCTACTTAAAAAGCCCTTTTATCCCAATGGTCTAGTGGTTGAGATTCTGACAAGATGTTGCTAATCCCTAGCTTTCTCCTCTTTGCCTCTTGGCAGATGGGTTCGACCGCGTAGAGGAACAAGTAAGGCGCCAGCGGACAGCCCTGCCGCACGCCTTCCCGCACTTCCACCCGCTCCCCCAACCAACCGTTGAGGAGCAGCCTCGTTGCCGAGCCCTCATGGAGGCCCTTGCACCAGCCAACGAACTTCTGCGAAAAGCCCATTCGCTCCATCGTGCCGAACAGGTAATCCCGCGAGACGGAGTCAAAAGCCTTTTGAAAATCCACGAGCAGGAGATAGATGACTCTGGTTAGCCAAAACCCTACACGTGAAAGGTTTCGCGCGCCCAATTTATCGCGCAGGACAGGTTTGTTACAAGTATGAAAAACAGTGTTTATAACGAAATCACGCGAAGGACCAAGTCTGATAAAAGGACAGCCTGACTAGAGGCTGTAGGAACACGCTCTTAGGTGATTTGCATTTTGGCAGCTTTTGCTTCTGCAACCATTAGCCTGAATGTAAGCCTTTGTATATGGAAATGATGTTAATGTAGCGTAGTTACAGTCAGAATTCTTCGCAAGCCCAACTCAAAGCTCACTGAATCTCAGTTCTGTCCCCATGCCGCGCATGAGATCTATAATATTGACCGTCCGATATCTCCATCCCTCCATTCGATTCCATCAATCTAGGAGGCATGGGTGGAGGCCTCTGGGTTCGTGTTTCCAGGCGTCTATTTTGAATGCAGTATCGACATAAAACTGTTTCTTAGTGCACGCCGTAGGCCGCATTCCACCCATAAAATGCGTAAAAGCATCGACAACGCCGTAACTGACCCCACAGAACTGAACTGAACTGGGAGGATCAGGGCTGAGTGAACTGCCGCCGCGGTGTTGTGATTGTGATGCGAGATGCCTTCGCGCTTCTCGAAGCATCAGTTCAGCCGTCAGATTCAGTGATCCGAGGGCCCTGCTGCTTCCTTCCAGCCCTCCAGTCCACCCTCCTCCCTCCCATCCCATCAATGCTTCCTTCGCCCCCCACCACCACCTTTCCCTCTTCCTAAGATCTCCCCCTTTCTATCACTCTTCGTTTCTGCTGATCCAAGTAACTTCTAGATACTCTTGGGAACTACGCTGATCTGTGGCCTTACCTACGCATCCGTGCAGTCCACTGATCCAGATTCGTCGTTCCTGAGCCGCCGGCCGCGCCGATTGGCTCTAACCTTTTGATTTTGCGGGTTTAGTTCCTCAGACCTTGCAGCAGAGGGCGTTTCCTGCGAGTTCTTTTTAGGGGGAGTTGGACAGTAGAGATTCGCGTTTGACCGTTTTTGTTAATAGTCAACCATGTTGGGGGAGATCCTTAGCGTTCAGCCAGGGGAGTTGAAATTTCCATGTGAGTATTACTCTTCCCCTATTCTAGCTTATACAACGTGTATGTTGTCGCTATCGGCATGTTTCGTCTCCCACAGACAAATTTTCTCGCCGTAGAGTTTTGAGCTGCTTCAGTGACCAGCTATTTCAGCGATCCCCGTGTTCCTAGTATGTATGTGTGATTTCGTTTCTGCCGCACTTCGAGTCGCGATGGTCAGTGTTGAAAATCTGCTGGTTCATTTTTCTCATAGTTTTTTTGTACTTTGTAAATTCCCGATCAGCGTCGCCTGAGCTCTGCGCTGTCCGAACGATTCCTTAGCAAGACTCGCATAACTTCGGACGCGATCCATGAACCTGTGCACCCAAACAAACGTCGTGCGTGTGTGATCGCGTCATCTGTGCAGTTGAGCTCCGGAAACAAGTCTCAACGTCTCTCCGACTGGTGAACGTCACTTCGGAATATGTCGCCTTCAAGGTGCGTTGCACTAGCAACTTTAAACATCCATTGCAACGCCACCTTGTCTCATTCCTTTCCGCGGCTATCGTTGTTCACTTTCCCGTGCTGTTCTGGCAGATCTGTCTCACTATCTCATTTTGTTTTCTGCTCTGCCTCCTTCCTTCGTGCTGTCTTCGTCCCTCCGTTTTCACCCCTCTTCTTCCTCTCAGGTTAAGACGACATCTCCAAAGAAGTACTGCGTGCGGCCTAACACGGGTCTGGTCCCCCCTCAAAGTAGCGCCGAGGTTGTGGGTACGTATTCCCTCATCCGATCCCGCTCTCGATCATCTTTCAAGCCCTACTGTCGCTGTTTTTTCGACGCTTCAAACCCGCTGCTAGCTACCGTCGCTGTCGGCTCATTGTGTGTGTTTCATCGTCGCTTCGTCTCAGCTTTTCGATCCGCGATATCTCCTAGCGTGTGATTAGTGGCGTGTGGCGTATCGGCGTGTGGCCTAATATCATTGACGTTTGGCTCTGTTTCGCTATGCTGCAACGCGTTACAGTGACGATGCAAGCGCAGAAGGAGATGCCGGCGGATCTGCAATGCAAGGACAAGTTCCTCGTCCAGAGCGTGCTCGTGCCGGGGGGAGCTCCCAAGGAAACCACGCAAGACTTCGTACGTTGCTCCTGCATGCCGTTGCCACCACATGCATGCGTGGTCGAGAAAGCGGTTGTTCCTTCCGTTCAGTCGTAGTCATTCAGTCTGCTCGTCGCCGTGCTTCCACTGTCGCACAAGGGTCCCTTTACCTACATGTACTAGAGAAATGGACCATTTTCTCTTCGTGCTGGCGTCCGCTAAAGAATTTTGTTGACAATTTCATCCGTTTTTCGCGAATTGATGGGGATTGACGGGTTTGCAGTTTAACAAGGAGAACGGCCGGGAGGTTCACGAGGTGAAATTGCGGGTGATCTACGTGGCGCCACCTCAGCCGCCGTCTCCGGTGGCTGAGTCAGCAGAGGAGGGTGTCATTTCGCCCAGCCCCTTCCCCACCAGCACCAAGGGCCTCACCCCCGCTGATCCTGTACGTTCGATCGCTGCCTTTCCAGGATTGTGTTGGATCATCTTTAGCTTTGTTCTTTGTTGCTCCTCCAACCCTGACCTTTCTGCTCCATGCGTCATGTAGATTGTCTCCTTCGCCCACCCTGATGTCACCCAACCTCTCTCTCCCTCCCCCTTTCGGTCTTCCACACACACACACACACACACACACACACACACACACACACACACACACACACACACACACACGCACGCACACGCACACACAACACACACGAAGAAGCGCACACTCACTGAACCCAGCTAAGCGCATGCACTGCGTTATTGCAGCCTTTCGAGCCTTGCAGCATTGTCACACGTGCTCTTCCCGTGGGCGTATCAACGAATTTTCTTCCCCGCGCTCGATTCGCTATGCCCGATGTTTTTGACTGCAGAGTGCAAAGGACGTGGTGGAGCTCAAGGCAAAGCTTACAGAGGTATGTGTCATATCGCGTATCTCTTACTGCTGCTCTGCTCTCCCCACCACCCCCCAGCCCAACCACCAACACCCCCCCCTCCCCCTCATCCCCTACCTCTTTTGCCCCCCCTTTCTCCCCTCCCACCCGTCCACCCACACACCGCCATTTAGTTGTCCCTTTGAAGCCTTGCCCGTTTCTTCATATGCTTCCTAATTCATCATTCTTGCACCCGCTATTGTGTTATCATGCTTATTCGATGTAGTTGGTCGTCCCTGGGTCCACCACTCAAAACACGCACTCTGTTTGCTCCGTGGTGTGTACAACTTGAATCAGGCCAAGTCTGCTCTTGCTCAAGCCACGGACGATCGCAACAATGCAGTGCGGGAGGTGCAACGCCTCAAGGTCAGTGTGCTTGCTGATCTTGTGCTTTCCCACAATTACGGTGGTGGAATTCTGATGTGCTCATAGAAGAAACACGGCAGAGACAGCAGGTTGATTGTTTCGTGCCGTTTTTGCTAACTTTCTGAAGCTGAGTTGATTGGGAGTCGTTCGGAGTGAAATGCATTTGCTCGTGTGCTCACTTTCCCCTCCTTCCATTCCTCCGCTGTTTCCACTGTTCCTTTTCAGAGCAACTTGTCTGGGCAGGGTCAGGGAAAGCAGGGTGGGGGAGGGTTCTCCTTTATGACGCTGCTTGTAGTTGCACTCATCTTCTTCCTCCTCGGATTTCTTGGAGCCAAGGGCATTCTGCCGCTGCCCGGCCTCTCCCCTGCTGGCTCAGCAGGCGAGCTATGAGCCATGAGCTATCAGCACCAGGGTTTGTGGGGTGGAGTGGAAGCACGATCGAATTATGGAGTTGAAACTGTTAATTGCAGGTGGTATAGAAGATACGCATGTGTGGTATGTGTTATGTATGGGGGTTTTTGGTGCCTTATTTAGGGTTAAAGATGGTATAGTTGCAGGGAGTAAATGTAGTTTTTCATAGTGGTTGGGTAGACTGGGTTAATTCACTGGCGTAATGAAGTCACCTATGTATACAGTACCAGTACCTGATGAAGTAAATAAGATTAAAAAACGCGGTCTAGCCACCAGAAAAATATTGGCTCATACCTCACTTCTAGTGTACTATTTGAGACAGTTGATTTCAATATTCAATAGCACGTAGGTATCAGTCGTAATTTCTACCGAATCGTAATCAAACGAATCACACTCGTCCCCGCTCCTGCAGTGGCATGTGTCACACAACTCACAACGCCGGCGCTAGTGTTGCATTCTGCAAACCACCTTGGTTCCTCATGCTCGCTCGCAGTTCCACCGTCGTGAATACGCTCCGCCGATCTCTCACCCGCCATCATCGCCGCACCACCATGGACGTAGTTAGTCGCTCGCGTCTATACCTCACCGCGCAAACCCCCTCGCACGTGCTCCGGTTACCAAATTCCGCGGGTTCGTATAAACCGTCAGCCGAGGATCAATCAACGGCGCTCCGTGCAGCAGTTACTAACGGAATTCCGTTTCTTTCCGGAATTTGCTCTGGGTTTCGCGTAGGGCAGCTGCCACGTCAGACATATGTCGCCGCAGCTAGAACCGTCGGCCAGCGGCAGCTCGGCGCGCAGCAAAGCGCGCTGGGGGGGCTGCGGTTGGCGGAAGGGATCCGCGCGCCACATGGGTGCGCGTACTCTAGTCGCAGCGGCGCATTCTCCGGCGCACGTGTTGCGCCCGCTGGCGGGATTGCGCGCGCTCAGGTACCTGGCGCGGAGGAAGCAGGCGCAACGGTGGCGGAAGAAGCGGAACTAGCGAATGGGGACGCGGACGCGGGGGAAGGTGGACGCAGGCGGAACATTCAGGGGAAGCCGCGGGGAGGGGCAGGTGCAGGGAGCTGGCAAGAGGGGGAGGCGGAACAGTGGGTGCGCGCAGTGCAGGCGCGGGGGGACAGCAGCGGGGAAGGTACCGTTGGCGGAGATCGCGGTGTGGGAACGCGGAAGCCGCGGAAGGGGGAGGAGCTGGAGCTGGTGTGCGATAGCCTTGCGTTCAAAGTGAGCCGCTTTTGAGTCCTTCAAACCAATTCAAACCTATCCAAACCCCTTCGAAAGCGCTCAACATGTTGTAACACCCTAAAATTGCCAATGCACTTCGAAACCCTCACACGACTTTCTCATTTTCTTTTCTCCACCAACCCTGTGCACTAGTCTCTCCTGTGCTCTCACGCTAGTATGCCCGCTCAGCTAAACCCCCCTGTGAACCCGATATCCCCTAAACCCTTTACCCGCGCCTCTCAGGGTTTGGGCGTGTGCCGCGTGCCTGAGAGCGGGTTTGTGGTTCTGTGCGAGCGCGCATTACCAGGGGAACGGCTGGTGGCTCGTATTGTGAAGGCCAAGCGACAGTACGCAGAGGTGAGGTGATGTGATTTTTGAGGCGCCTCAAAAAGAACGGCTGGTGGCTCGGATCGTCAAGGCCAAGCGGCAGTATGCAGAGGTGAGGTTATTCTGAAAAGACGTCTCTTTATAATCACAAGTGGTATGCATGGATGATTTGATTCGAAAGAGGTGCTTGTAGCCTTGTAGATAGAGACGTAGAGACACTTACGGGCCCCATACATGCTGGCACACATGTTTCTCGCGCTTGTATCCCCCACTTCCCGTTCTTCCCTTGCACTCCGCTTTCCCAAGATTTCCCTCGTTCCTCCTTTCCCTGCTCCCCCTCCCCACTCCCCCTCCCCTCCCCTCTTTCCCCCCCGCCCCCCCCCCCCATTCCCCCCGCCCAGGCATACAAGGTGCGCGTGCTCTCGCCCCACGACCACGCCACCACCCCCCGCTGCCAGCACTTTGGGCACTGCGGGGGGTGCCGCCTGCAGAACCTGGAGTACGAGGCTCAGCTGCGCATCAAGCAGCAGCAGGTGGGTGGTTGGGGTGCAGGGTTGGGAACTGGGTGAGTGCGGATTGGATCTGGGGGGAAGAACACGGAAAGCACACTGCGGGGGGTGCCGCCTGCAGAACCTGGAGTACGAGGCTCAGCTGCGCATCAAGCAGCAGCAGGTGGGTGGTTGGGGTGCAGGGTTGGGAACTGGGTGAGTGCGGATTGGATCTGGGGGGAAGAACACGGAAAGCACACTGCGGGGGGTGCCGCCTGCAGAACCTGGAGTACGAGGCTCAGCTGCGCATCAAGCAGCAGCAGGTGGGTAGCTGGGGGAGGGGACTGACTGAGGATGTGGGGATCAAATTTGTGAGAAAGAGAACGTGAGTGCACTGCGGGGAGTGCCGCCTGCAGAACCTGGAGTACGAGGCACAGCTGCGCATTAAGCAGCAGCAGGTGAGAGGGGTTTGGGACGCCTCGTAAAGGGGTTGGAAGAGTCGGGCTTGCAGGGCTGGTCCGTGCGTGTCAGCCTTGCTTGCATTTTTTAGGCGCCTCAGAAGTAGTTTTTCTTTAGGCGCCTCAAAGGTGAGGGGTGTTGATGAGTCTCAAAATAGGGTTGGAGGATTCGGGCTTGCGTGTCAGCCTTGCTTGGATTTTTTCTAGGCGCCTCAAAAGTGAGGGGTTTTGAGACGCCTTGAAATAGGGTTGGAGGGGTGGTGCTTGCAGGGCTGGTCCATCTGTGTCAGCCTTGCTTGCAGCGCCGCTCCTCGTTTGTTGCCACCGGCATTTGAGGCGCCTCAAAACAAAAGGGTTGGAGGATTCGGGCTTGCAGCGCCGCTCCTCATTTGTTGCCACCGGCGTTTCTTCTGTCCTTCCTCTTTCAACCATTGCGTCAACTTATTCTGTTTTCTCTCATTCTGTTTGCCCGTTCTTGCACGTGCGACTCTATGTGTGAATGTGTGAATGTGTGTGTGTGTGGGGTGGGGAGGAGGGGAGGGGGGGGCGGGGGAGGGGGGGTGGGTGGGTGGTGGGTGGGGGGGTGTGCGTGCGTGCGGGCGTGCGTGTGTGTATGTGTGTGCGTGCATATATGTGCGTGCGCGTGCCCGTGTGTGTGTGCGAGCGTGTGTGCACACCAGGTAGCAGAGCTCATGGTTCGGGTGGGCAAGTTCACCCTAACGCCATCTTCTGATGCCTCAACCGCAGCACCAACACCATCACCAGCAGCAGCAGAAGGAGAAGCAGAACCACCACAGGAACAGCAGCAGCAGCAGCAGCAGCAGCAGCAGCAGCAGCAGCAGCAGCAGCAGCAGCAGCAGCAGCAGCAGCAGCAAGCTGACGCTCCTGTGGAGCTAAGGGAAATCATAGGCTGTACCGAGCCATACCATTATCGCAACAAGGCAAGATGCGCCTCTCTCCGTATCACTCTCTATCCCACTCCCCTCTTTCCCACTCCCCACTCCCACTCCCCTCTTTCCCACTCCCCACTCCCACTCCCCTCTTTCCCACTCCCCACTCCCACTCCCCTCTTTCCCACTCCCCTCTTTCCCACTCCCCACTCCCACTCCCCTCTTTCCCACTCCCCACTCCCACTCCCCTCTTTCCCACTCCCCACTCCCACTCCCCTCTTTCCCACTCCCCACTCCCACTCCCCTCTTTCCCACTCCCCACTCCCACTCCCCTCTTTCCCACTCCCCACTCCCACTCCCCTCTTTCCCACTCCCCACTCCCACTCCCCTCTTTCCCACTCCCCACTCCCACTCCCCTCTTTCCCACTCCCCACTCCCACTCCCCTCTTTCCCACTCCCCACTCCCACTCCCCTCTTTCCCACTCCTCGCCCTCTCTCTCCCCAAGTATCCTATTCCTGTCCATCCGTTTCCCGCAAATATTCTCTTCCTCTCCCTTTTTCTCCCATCTACACTACAGTCTCTCCCATTTTCCACTCGTTCTTCCACCGTCGCTCACCCTCTCACCTTTCCTCACTCTCAGTCACCCCCTCTTCCCCTCCTCCCATTCTCTTCGCCCCCCTCTCACCCACAAATGGCGTTCTCTACTGTTACACCTCTTAACCCTTCTTCCGCTCTTCCAATTTTCTCCCACACCCCTCTCACCCACGGCGTAGAGTTCTCCACACCAGCGTGTTTTACACTCGGCTTCCGCACCCTCCCAATCACCTTTGCCCTTTCCATGCTCTCCCCACCCCTCTCACCCCTAGATAGAGTTTTGAGATTTCTCAGGGCTCTTCCCATGCTCTCTCCCCGCCACTCTCACCCCGCAGATGGATTTCTCTTTCAGCTCTCGTGTGTGGCTCCCCGCCACTTCGCATCATCCCAGTCACTTTTCTCCTTTCCCATGCTCTCTCCCCATCCCTTTCACCCCTTCAGATGGAGTTCTCTTTCAACTCTCGTGTGTGGCTCCCCCCTTCCGACATGCCTGAGAAACCCCCTCGTTCGCACACGGGCGGAGCAGCAACACCAGGAGCAGACGCAGAATCAGCAGCAGCAGCAGCAGCAGCAGCACCACTGGCAGCAGTAGCAGAAGATTCACCGGCACCAGCACCGGCAGCAGCTGTAGAAGCCGATGCAGGAGAAAGCGGGAGTGAGAGCGACGGGGAGGGAGGCGGCGAACCGAGGGAAGAGGAGAGGCAGAAGCTGAAGAAGAAGGGGCGGGGTGGCAGGGGTCCCAACGTGACCCCGAACCCAGGGGGCTTTGCCCTGGGGCTGCACGCTCCCAGGCGGTTTGACAAGGTGCTGCCGATAGAGGAGTGCCACCTGCAGCACCCCACCGCCAATGAGGTCCGTCAGACAGTCAGGCAGCCACTTGGTCAGTCAGGAAGTCGTTCGGTCAGTTGGTATTTGAGGTGCTGTAGAAACGCCCTCCCAGGCGGTCAGACAAGGTGCTGCCGATTGAAGAGTGCCCCCTGCAGCACCCCACCGCCAATGAGGTCAGTTCCTTGCCCGCCCATTCACCCACTCAGTCAGTCAGCTAGTGAGGTCAGTTCGTGAGCTAGTCGCCTGAGAAATGGTCTCCACAGGCCACTGAGGTTTGACAAGGTGCTGCCGATAGAGGAGTGCCACCTGCAGCACCCCACCGCCAATGAGGTCCGTTAACCGGTCAGTGCGTCGGTCACTCTGTCCAGTCGGCTAGTTTACCAGTCAGTCGGTTATTCCGTCGGCAAGACAATCAGTCAGCCATGCTTCCCCCTGCTTTCCTCTTGCCCCCCCCCCCCCTGCTCCACCCCTGCTTTCCCTCTACCCCCCCTGCTTGTCCCGCCTCCCCCCCCTCTAACAACTTCCCTGTACGGTGCTTGCAGATCCTGGCACATGTGCGGCAGTGGAGTGAGCAGCATCAGTTTTCAGACGTCTCGAAACTTTCCCCCTCCCTTCCCCTGCGCTCTTCTGCATGAGCCATGGCAGATCCTGGCGCATGTGCGGCAGTGGAGTGAGCAGCATCAGTTTTCAGACGTCTCAAAACTTTCCCCCTCCCTTCCCCTGCGCTCTTCTACATGAGCCATGGCAGATCCTGGCGCATGTGCGGCAGTGGAGTGAGCAGCACCAGCATGTGCTGCCGCCATACGACCCCATCACCCATGAGGGCATACTTAGACACCTCACCATCCGCAAGGGCCGGTGAGTGAGTGGGTGGGTGGATGGGTTGTTTGGGTGCTTATATGTATGCATGTGTGCGTGGTCGAGTCGGCCTGTGAGAGCACATACGACCCAATCACCCAGAGGGCGCGCTCAGACACCTCACCATCCGCAAGGGCCGGTGAGTGAGTGGGTGGGTGGGTGGGTGGGTGGGTGGGTGGGTGAGTGGTTACATGCATGTGTGTGCGTGTTCCAGTATGCCTGTGAGAGCACACATGCCCCCAACACCCATGAGGGTGTGTTGAGACACCTCACCATCCGTAAGGGCCGGTGAGAGCATGAGGGGGGGGGGGGGGGGGGTGTGGGTGGATGGGTGGATGGGTGGGTGAGTGGGTGTGGGTGGGTTGGTTTGATGCATGTGCGTTCATGCATGCATGCATGCGTGAAAGTGCGAGGCGAGAGCCCCACTATACTCCCACTGATGAGCATTCTCATGCTGGACTGGGCGTTGACATACACAGGAGATTGCCATGCTCATCAGTGGGAGCATGCTGGTCAGTCAGGTGTATAAAGAAGTGTTTTGATACGTCTCAAAATACAGTATGCTCCCGCTGATGCTCATGCTCATGCTCATGCTCATGCTCATGCTCATGCTCATGCTCATGCTCATGCTCATGCCCATGCTCATGCTCATGCTCATGCTCATGCTCATGCTCATGCTCATGCTCATGCTCATGCTCATGCTCATGCTCATGCTCATGCCCATGCTCATGCTCATGCTCATGTTCATGCTCATGCTCATGCTCATGCCCATGCTCATGCTCATGCTCATGCTCATGCTCATGCTCATGCTCATGCCCATGCTCATGCTCATGCTCATGCTCATGCTCATGCTCATGCTCATCAGTGGGAGCATGCTGGTCAGTCAGCTCATGCTCCCCCAGTAGTCGAGGTGGTCATGCTCACAAAGACTGACCGGCTGCTCACAAAGACTGACCGGCTGCTCACAAAGACTGACCGGCTGCTCACAAAGACTGACCGGCTGCTCACAAGCATGCTGCTCTGCCCTACCTTTGCGTCCTGCCTCCTCACAAACTGTGTGTGTGCAGCGATGAGCGGACAGGAGAGGAGGTGCTCATGGTGGTGCTGGTCACAAAGACGGACTGCCGTTTTGCAAACTTTAACCAACCAACCAACAGTCTGCATGTGACTGTTCGTGTGCGCCCAGGATGAGCGGACGGACAGGAGAGAAGGAACTCATGGTGGTGCTGGTCACAAAGACCGACTTTGCTATCCGCTCTGCCCTGCATTCCCTACCTGCCTTCTCACCGTCTGTATGTGTGTCTGCATGTGTGCAGCGATGAGCGGACAGGAGAGGAGGAGTTCATGGTGGTGCTGGTGACCAAGACTGACTGTCCGGACCTCCTGCAACCCCTTGTTGACCACCTCTCCCGCGCTTTCCCCCACTTGGTACACTCTCTCCTTCAAGATTTGCCTTGTAAGCACTCTCATTTATCTAGTCACCCGCGCTTTCCCACCACCACGCTGTCTTGTTCTTTCTTCTCCTTCATTTTTCCATGTAGGGAATGTTAAACGAAGCTCTCTCAAGTGCCTTTTCAATTGAGTCACCAACAACTCGTGGACCAGCTAGCCTTTGCCTCTCTCCTCCCAGATGTTGCCGAAACATTTTTTTGTCCCCTCGCTTGACCATCCTTCCTCTCTGTCCTTCTCCCCCTCTCCCCCTCTCTTCCCCCATACAGGTCAGTTTCATAATGACAGTAAATCCCTCTCTCGCCGACGCCACACCCCCCAACGCCCTGGAGCGGCTGCTGCTGGGCCGGCGGGTGATCAGCGACTCGCTGCGCTCTCTGCACTTTGACATCTCAGCCGCCTCCTTCTTTCAAACCAACTCCGATCAGGTCAGTTTCCCGCTGCCTGCCGTCTTGCATGCTTGGTACTTTCCATAAGTGCATTAACCAACATTCTACTAGAACTTTGTTAATCAACCTTTGTTAATCACGGTATGTTTGCTTCTTTTTTTTTTGGAAGATGCCTTACTACTCTTCATGCTTTGTTACTCGGTAGAACCGCTTCGTTTAACCTTATGTTTGTTTCTTTCCTTGAGAACATTGTTCTGTTTCGTTGTTTGTTACCTCTGGCAGCCCGCTGCTCCCCCTGCCTGTGTGTCAACTCTACGACTTCTCCACTTCTTGTCCCACTCCCCGTTCCCCTCCTCATCTCCCTCATCCCCCACAGGCGGAGGTGCTGTATGAGGTGGTGGAGCGGGCGTGTGCACTCAAGGCTGTTGACAGCTTCTCTTCTCTTGCATCGGTGTCAATTGAAACGCTCCACTCTCATCTCGTCTCCCATTCCCCCCAATCACCTCTCTCGCCCCGCACAGGCGGAGGTGCTGTATGAGCTGGTGGAGCGCGCGTGTGCGCTCAAGGGAGACGGCAGTGAGCTGCTGCTGTCGCTGCTCCCCTTTCTCGTGTATGTTGCTCTACTCAGCAACTCCCTTCCGTCTGGCTCATCTCTCATCTCCCACAGGCGGAGGTGCTATATGAGCTGGTGGAGCACGCGTGTGCGCTCAAGGGAGATGGCAGCGAGCTGCTGCTGGATCTCTTCTGTGGCACCGGCACCATCGGCCTCTCACTCGCCTCCCGGTGAGCTTTGGCCCATATTTGTATCATTGAGTCTTATGTAAAAACAGCTAGGTCTGTGCTTTTGGGTTAAATCTCAGCGTCACTTGCCTCAGTCGGTCAAACTATTCATTGGAGCAACCTCGTAAAGTCTCCTTCTTCTCGTACATACATTGCACACACTCTCTCCTTCGCCCACCCACCTGTCCCTCCTCCGCCTGTCCAATCAGAGTGCGCCACGTGTACGGGTTCGAGCTGGTGCCAGAGGCGATAGCGGACGCGCGTCGCAATGCGGACCGCAACGGCATCACCAACGCCACGTTCCTCCCAGTCGACCTCAACAAGGCGCTGCCCACCCTGCCCAGCGCTGCTGCTGCTGCTGCTTCTGGAAATGGCAGACCTGATGTGATTATCACAGGTATGTATGGCTTGAGTGTATGCATCAGAATCATGCCACAGACCCAACGCCACGTTCCTCACAGTCGACCTCAACAAGGCGCTGCCCACCCTGCCCAGCGCTGCTGCTGCTGAAAAGAGCAGACCCGATGTGATCATCACAGGTACGATCTGTGTTCGTGCTTCAGAAACATGTCGCTGCAGCAACGGCATCACCAACACCACCCTCTTCCCTCACAGTCGACCCCAACAAGGCCCTGCCCACCCTGCCCACCCTGCCCACCCGGTCCGGTTCCTCCCTCCCTCTCCTTCCCCCTTCCCCGTCGCTCTCCCCCCTCTCTTCCCCCCTCTCCCTCCCCCCCTCCACACCATCAGACCCGAACCGGCCGGGCATGCATCCGCGGCTGTTGGAGCACATGGCGGAGGTGAGGGCGCCGCGCATCGTGTACGTCTCCTGCAACCCCGCCTCCATGGCGCGCGACCTGCACGCTCTCTGCCACCAACTGCCTGTAAGTCTGCTTTTGAGTCGACTCAAACGTGTCCCCTGAAATCCCACACGTCTCCTACAACCCCTCCTCCATGGCTCGCGACCTGCACGCGCTCTGCCACCAACTCCCTGTATGTCCCTCCCTCTCTTTTGAGTCGGCTCAAAACCACCCGCGACCGCGACCTGCACGCACTCTGCCACCAACTGCCCGTAAGTCTGCTTTTGGGACCACTCAACAGCGTCCCCTGCAATCCCACGCGTCTCCTGCAACCCCGCCTCCATGGCGCGCGACCTGCACGCTCTCTGCCACCAACTCCCCGTAAGTCTGTTTCTTTTTGTCGCCCCAACTTCGTCTCCGTCAACCCCGCCTCCATGGCCCATGACCTGCACGTTCTATTCCACCAACTCCCCGTGAGTCCGTCCGTTCCGCACGAGTTACTAACCAGTAGAGTTGGCTCAAGAGCGTCTCCTGCAACCCCACCTCCTCTCTTCCCTCCGCTTCTCTCCTCTCTTGTCTCTGTCCTCCTCAACAGAGTGGTCGTCCGGGGCCGTACCGATTGGAGTGGATACAGCCTGTGGACATGTTTCCGCACACACCCCACGTTGAATGCGTGGCTGCTCTTGCACTTAGATAAGTGTTACATTGATGATTAGGCATGCTGGTTCACAAACTGCAAATTTACTCCTTTATAATGGAACACATTCAGAATGTTAACTCTCATCATCACCCACTAAAGCATGCATACGTGTGCTAGCCTGCCTTACTAGCTGTTCATCATATACCGAGTGCTCAGGAAAAAGAAATGAATATGACATGTAAAGCAAAATACATATGGTGGTTCTTATGTGTTTGTATCTGATGAAACTTCATTCTCCCCGATTCGGGGACCTCGAATCAGGGTTTTGTTTTTTCTCTACAGTCAAGGGATCGACAGCAGTGGTATCACTGGCCGCGTGGCGCTGGTGTTGTCTGTCGTCTATGTGGATAGCATTTTCCTGCTTGTGTTTTCATCATTATGCTTGATAGCCCACGTGTCAAGTACGGTGAGCATTGACCGCAAGGTAAGCCTTATCTGCCAGACTTCACTAACCCTAAATTTCGGGCCTTTCCCTGAGTTGATGAATGGAGTGGGGGATAATGGGCATTCTGTGAACTCCCATCGTCCATCCCCAGTTTCAGGTTCACAAACACAAACTCCACGTTGCATAACAATGGATTCACAAACTCATGACGCTGAATGACACTTTGAGGAGCTGGACCTACTCAAAGGCAGTTTCCCGCTTAAACAGATGTTGAACCTACGACTCGCTCCTAAATCAGGGACCGCGAAAGCACCGCTCAGAATTCTCTCTTAGACACCTGTAAGGTGTATTTCGGTTGTATACCCTGTAAACGGTCGTACTGCCCAGTTCACCTTTTGCAACTCGCAAGGCACACCCAAGCCGACAAGTGGACCACACACCTACGCCAGCTATCATTGTGATGTATTTACATCTACACACCTTCTGCCTGAGGGGGTAACGTCGACTCTCGCGTCACCATCCGGAATGTGGACAGCACTTGACCCGTCTTTCTGGTTTTGTGGAATAATGTTCTCCAGTAAATTAGACATACGCCAGGGACAGAACTCTTACATTCCTTACTAACAATTGCCCGTAAGACTGTTCAGTGTGAAAGGTTTCCTTGAAACCGCGTCCTGCCGTTCCTCGCCGCAGCCAGCTTGGCTTGCAATACACCCTGTTTCGCGCCACACTGACATTCGCCATATTGACAAGCCGGTTGTACTGACATCAATGCGTCCAAATTGGTCCCAGAACATACCGTATAAGCACTTTTGCCGCACGAAACCGAACTCAAAAGCACGTTTGTTTCAAAAACCGTTGTCTACCGTTCTCCTGAAGTGCATTTCGGTTGCAAGCACCAGCCCGCTGAATCCAAGCACACGTGCGCACTGTAGCCGGGGCTCCCGATTGTTCAAACATCGAGGAACAGGGTGTACTGCCAAACCACTCCACCAACCATCTGCACTCGGTCCCTCTTGGTTTGCCTTGTGCGCGATTCTACCATATCCGCTGCTACTGTCGCCTTGTTTCGCCTGCTTGAGAATGTTTTCGCCTGATTTCGTTCGGTCCCACTCAGGACCTTGCTCCACTAGGCTCGTGTGGATTCCTCGACACCAGCAGACATGCTTCACCAGCAGCAATTTGAACCGACAAGCCTGATTCTTGTATCCCAGTGTCTCCCACGCCCAGATACTACACACACAGCTCGATTGCCAAAACCACCGCCAAATCGATCGTCCATACGATACGCCTCTCTCGCTCTTTCCCTCGCTCTCGTCCTACCACAGCTGGGAAATATTCTCATGGTCCCTAGAATCGATTGCATGCCTCTCAGGCAAGAAGAGCGTTGGCCGGTAACGTATCTCCATGTCACGCCAATACCTCCTGTCGGGCAAAGCACTCTGGCAGAATGTAGTTCTTCTCACGGCGGTAGTCGGGAATCCATGGGTATCATCTCGCACTCGCAAACGGTGTTCAGGCGACCGCCGAGCGGTCTTAATAGTAGGCACGCGGCGGCTAAACGCCAAAAGGTTTCGGCTCGCCAGCAGTCGGCTGAATCCGAGCAGTCGATACTTGCGAGCGAAGCGCCGGTAAATGGAAACGCTGGAGTTTCATCTGAAAGGCAAGAACAATCAAACGTTGGTGAATCGGACCAGTATCACCAGCAACGGCAGCAACCGCAGCAGCAGGAGCAGCAGCAGCAGCAGCGGCAGCAGCAGCAGCAGCAGCAGCCGCAGCAGCAACAACCGCAACAGCAGCAGCAGCAGCAGCCGTTTCGGCCCCTGTCAGCGGGTCGCTCCTGTCCCGCGAGTAGTCCCAATCAGCAACGTCAAGGAGCCGCTGAATTAGCCGTTAGCGTGTCGCCATGTCTCGACAATACTGCAACCGGCGCTCCTATCTCTGACGCTTTAGGTGACTACAATTCTGGTTCAGGTGCCGCATTCGGCGGCACTCCACCAAGAGCCGATTCGAACGGTGCCACTGATTTGAACAGCCCGCGTCGCGCAAACGAGCGGCGAGGGGTGGAAAAGCGTCGAAGCTGGCTAGCCCCCGCCCGGCACGGCTCCCGTTGCTCCCCGCCAGCGCTCGTCCCCGCGGAAATCCGCTCATCCTTCTTTCCGCCCCAGTCCCCCGTGCCTATTCTTTCGTTCCCCGCATTTCCCTGTCCTCTTTCTCAATCCCCCCGACGATTTGGCGACTCAGCGCAACCGTCTATCCGCAAGCCAAGCCGCTCCCCCACCCACCGGGTTCCTTCGTCCTTCTCCCCCTCCCCGCTCGCCTCCCCGCGCGTTACCGTTTGCGCAACCCCGCCCGGGACTCCGCTCGCGGTCCCCGTGGTTCGGGCACCCCGAAATAACGACGATTTCGTGGCAAATACTAGTAACTATGCCGTCGCGGGGCTTAACCCGCGATTGTTACTGTCGCGAGGAGCCGGGTCGCAGTTGCTGCATCCGTCGTCGTCGATTAGCCGGATCTGGACGCAACCGCGAGCCGACTCGGAGTTAAGTCTGCTTACTTCTAGAAGCGTCGACGCGGCTTCCGGGAGAAGCGGCGGTTGTTCTGGGGCGCATCGGGAGCTGCGCTGCGGGAACGAGGGTGGATGTGGGGAAGCGGAAGGATGCGGGGGAGCGGAAGGATGCGGGGGAGCGGAAGGATGCGGGGGAGCGGAAGGATGCGGGGACAGAGCGGGTTTTACAAGGGCAGGGTCGATGCGCGGCGAGTGGGGGAGAGATAAGCGGCGGAAGAAGCGCGATGCGAACGCGGAAATGTGCAGGCTGCGAGGGGGGCGCGCACAAACAGAACGAGGAGGTTTCGAGGAGGGGGGAATCAGAAGTCAAGGGGGGCCGGGCGCAGGGGCCTGTGAGCGGAATGAGCGGGACGGAGGGTCTTCTCAGGGGGTCCTTGGGGCTTCCGCGCATCCGCGCGCGCGCGTTTCCCCCGCGCGTGTTCCCGCCACCCCCGGGTCCGCCGTGCAAGTTTCCGCCAGGTTCTGGGAGGCCCTGCTTGGCGGCGGAGGCACGGGGGAAGGCGCGGAGGGGGTAGCGTTGGGGGAAGCGGCGCTGGGGGAAGTTGGGGGGAGAAACAAGTCGTATGGCGGGGCACAGTGTGAGGGGGAAGAGTCTGAGGAAAGAGTGTGTGAAAAGCGAGTGTGCAGAGGAGGCAAGGCGGAGAGATTTGAGCAGGACGCGGAGAAAGAAGCGTGGAGGGAAATCGGCGGTGGGGGTGGGCGTGTGTTTGGGGGTGCGCGTGCGGGTGCGGGTGCGGGTGCCGGTGGGAGTGGTGGTGGGGGTGGGGTGGATGCGAATGTTCGGTTATGCACGCCAAGGTGGGGGAGGCGCTTTCACACGAAATCCAGCACGAGGGGTGGAGCAGCGGGGGCACCAGGCGTGCCGTGCACGCGAGGGAATGGTGGTTCAGCAGCAAGGGCGGTGGCTTTTGAGGTGCCACAAATGGCGGTCGCAGCTTTGGAAGAGTCTCCAGAAGCTGTTGAGATAGGCCGCGGAGCAGCGAGTGTTGAGGGAGATGTGGTAGGCTCAGGAGGGAGCGGTGGGAGTGCAAGGGTGACCTCGTCTCAAGTGGCAGATGTGAGTGGGATGGCTGTAGTAAAAAGGGTGCGGGGGAGTGCAGGAGACAGGCTGGGTGCAGGCGGGGATGGTGCTGCTGCTGCTTCTGCTGCTGCTGCTGCTGGTGCTGCTGCTGCTGCTGCGGCCTCTGCTGCTGGTGTGGGGCTTGGTCCAGGATGGCAGGCGTGGCCGGATGACTGTGCTGAGACGATAGCCATGGCCTGATGCTGATCCATAGTGGTCCTTTTTTCAGTCGTCTCGGCTCAAAAATCGACTCATCATCACATGCTGATGCTGAGCCATGATGGTCCATGCTCTGCGCTATGGCCATGGTTATCTGCTGCTGTGGCTGCTTTGGTGTAATACCGGTATGCCTGAAGCACTGTGCGAAAGGGTGTTAAGAAGAGTCGTGGTCCGTGGATCGTGGTGGTGGTGGTGGTGGTGGTGGTGGTGGTGGTGGTGGTGGTGGTGGTGGTGGTGGTGGTGGTGGTGGTGGTGGTGGTGGTGGTGGTGGTGGTGGTGGTGGTGGTGGTGGTGGTGGTGGTGTGGTGGTGGTGGTGGTGTGGTGGTGGTGGTGGTGGTGGTGGTGGTGGTGGTGGTGGTGGTGGTGGTGGTGGTGGTGGTGGTGGTGGTGTGGTGGTGGTGGTGGTGGTGGTGGTGGTGGTGGTGGTGGTGGTGGTGGTGGTGGTGGTGGTGGTGGTGGTGGTGGTGGTGGTGGTGGTGGTGGTGGTGGTGGTGGTGGTGGTGGTGGTGGTGGTGGTGGTGTGGTGGTGGTGGTGGTGGTGGTGGTGGTGGTGGTGGTGGTGGTGGTGGTGGTGGTGGTGGTGGTGGTGGTGGTGGTGGTGGTGGTGGTGGTGGTGGTGGTGGTGGTGGTGGTGGTGGTGGTGGTGGTGGTGGTGGTGGTGGTGGTGGTGGTGGTGGTGGTGGTGGTGGTGGTGGTGGTGGTGGTGGTGGTGGTGGTGGGTTTGGATTGGAACGGAGCAAGCACGTCGCTCGATCTTCCTGGCTTGCTCCTCTCAGCGTTGTTGGGAGATTCTAGGCGCGTGTTACCTAGGCCGGCCCACGTGAGAATCATTTAGGTGTGTATGCTTGCCCGTTAAATGTGGTGTATTTGTATATATATGCCACACTCGTGTTGGTCTCGCTCGCCTGTCAATTATATGCATGTTATATCTGTTTAGGCTGTAGTGGGGTAGCCAATGTGGGGTACAACCCCTTAGGGTTTTCATCCTTGTACCCAAACTTCCTCAATAGTCAATTACACCTACTCTAACATGGTATTAGGGCGTGTTCCTACGGCCTCATATCAGGAAACCTCGTATCAAGAATGTCATTTTGCCTGGTAAAACTAGTGAGAGGTTTGGGTTTAGGGGAATTTTCAGTGTGAGCCTGATACGGTACGAGGTTCTCTTGATACGAGGTTTAGGAACACGCTCTTAGAGCACTTAGGTCTTAGGACCTAATTTCCTAGTGGGCCCACCGTTAACTCTCATGTTTTAGGGTTTCCCCTGCCTGTCGAGCTGCCCCACCCGTCGCGCCGCCCTGCTGGCCGCGCGACGCGCGTTTATTTCTTTTCCTTTTTCTCGTCACGCCGCCCTAGGGCCCGGCCCCGCCCGTCGCGTCGCCTTAGGGCCTTCCCGCGCTCTAACAGCCGCCCCTGGCCCCTGCAGCAGCCGCCCCTGGACCCAGAGCAGCCGCCCCTGGCCCCTGCAGCAGCCGCCCCTGGTGCAGCCGCCCCTGGACCCAGAGCAGCCGCCCCTGGCCCCTGCAGCAGCCGCCCCTGGTGCAGCCGCCCCTGGACCCAGAACAACCGCCCCTGGCCCCTGCAGCAGCCGCTCCTGGTGCAGCCGCCCCTGGACCCAGAGCAGCCGCCCCTGGACCCAGAGCAGCCGCCCCTGGCCCCTGCAGCAGCCGCCCCTGGTGCAGCCGCCCCTGGGCCCTCGAGCAGCCGCCCCTGGACCCAGAGCAGCCGCCCCTGGCCCCTGAAGCAGCCGCCCCTGGACTCCGTGCAGCCGCCCCTGGACCCCGCGACGCCGCCCCTGGACCCGCGACGCCGCCCCTGGACCCCGATATGCGCCTGCACTCAGTGCAGCCGCCCCCACCTCACCTCGCGCCTGCCTTCGTGCGCCTACCCTGCCGCCGCCCGCCGAGCGCCTGCCCTTCCCACCACTGGTGAGCACCTGCCTTGTTCGCGCGCTGCCGCGCCATCTGCCTGCCTGCCTGCCTACCTGCCTGCCTGCCTGATTGCCTGCCTGCCTGCCGCGCCTGCCCTGCCCGCGCTGCTACTGCTGCTACTGCTGCTACTTCTGTTACTACTGCTAGGCTGCTGCTGCTGCTACTGCTGCTACTACTGCTACTTGTGGTGGCCAGATGCAGCTCCAGCGACGTCCGCGCGAGTCTCTCACGCCCCAGCAGCTTCGTGAGTGGTACGCTAGTTGGGGTTGTGGCGGTAGCCGTCGTGGCGGTCGCCCTGGAGCTGGTCAGTCGGTAGCGTCTGGCAGTGGCCAGCTGCATCTGCAGCGGCGTCAGCGTGAGACACTTACGCCCCAGCAGCTTCATGAGTGGTACGCTCAGAGTAGAGGGTCTTGGAGTACCGTTCGCTGCCCGTACGTCATTCGCACAGGTGATCGGGTTGGTCAGGCTTGCGGGACGCTTGGACACACACACTCCCGCTGCTTCGCACGTCTGAGCGACGCCTTGCGTACCGAGTTTGGCGACGAGGCTGAGCTCCCCACCTGGCTGGAGCTGCTTAGGCAGAGGGTAGATATCTTTGCTCTTGACTATGATGCTATTCTCACTGCCATGTATGCACTGCCTACTAGTGCTGACCGTGCCTGTTACCTGTGCGTACCGCCTGACCCAGGTATAGAGCCTGCTGCTCTAGGTGCTGGTGAGGCTGCTGCGCTAGGTGCTAGTGCGTCTCCTGCTCTAGGTGCTGGTGAGGCTTCTGCTCCAGGTGCTGGTGAGTCTGCTCTCTCTGGTACTGCGCCTGCTGAGGCCTTGTACACCTTCACTCTTGACTCCGGTGCTTCTCGCTCCTTCTTTCGCGACAGCACCACCCTCACGCCGCTCAGTCGGCCGGTTGCAGTCTCCCTGGCAGACCCCTCTGGGGGTCCAGTCCGTGCGACCTCCACCACTGTCCTCCCTTGTCCTGCTGTCCCGTCCGGCACAGGTCTTTACCTCCCCTCGTTCTCTACGAACTTGGTGGCGGGTTCTGCGCTCCAGGACGCGGGTGTTCACCAGTTCACCCCTGCCTACGAGCATGTGACACACTGCACGTGTGCTCAGACGGATCGTCACCTGGCTACCTTCACTCGGCAGCCGGGGTCGGGCCTGTACACACTGACCACTAAGTCCCCTCAAGTAGCTGCGTCTGCGTCTACGTCAGGTCAGTTGTCGGCCCCCTGCTCATGTCGCACCCTGTCGCACCGGACGGTCCTCTGGCACCACCGCCTTGGTCACCCTTCGATGCAGCGCCTTCGTGGCGTGCACTCCCGTTACCTTGTCTCTGGTCTTCACAGGTCTCTCCCTCCCCTCCCACCCTCGCCTGCTCCTCCCTGTCTTCCCTGTGTCGAGGGGCGGCAGCGCGCCGCTCCTCACTCCTCCTCGTTTCCCCCGACGACTGCTCCCCTGCAGACCCTGCACATGGACGTGTGGGGCCTAGCTCGCGTCAGTGGGCAGGACCGCGAGCGGTACTTCCTGCTGGTTGTTGACGACTACTCGCGTTACACCACGGTCTTCCCGTTGCGCACGAAGGGTGAGGTCCCTGATGTTTTGATCCCTTGGATCCGCGCTGCCCGTCTCCAGCTCCGCGAGCGGTTCGGGACGGAGTTTCCCGTCCTGCGTCTGCACTCTGACAGAGGTGGGGAGTTGTCCTCCGACTTTTTGCAGAGCTTTTGTCGTGGGGAGGGCATTCGCCAGACGTTCACGCTTCCGGCCTCTCCGCAGCAGAATGGGGTTGCTGAGCGCCGCATTGGCTTGGTCATGGAGGTCGCTTGTACCTCCATGGTCCATGCGGCTGCCCCCCATTTTTTGTGGCCGTTTGCGGTCCACTACGCCGCGCATCAGCTCAGCCTCTGGCCCCGTGTCTCCTTGCCGGAGACTTCGCCCACACTGCGGTGGACGGGGGAGGTTGGCGATGCGTCGGTGTTCCGGGTCTGGGGTGAGAAGATTTGAACAAGAATGAATGAACTATGAATGAAGTGAGTACATATAGGAAACCCTAATTGGGTTGTACCCCCTATGGGATACCCCACTATAGCCTACACAACAGCATAAGCTATATATATGTTCTGACACACCCCCATAGGCAAAGTGGGGGAGAACAAGGGGTCACAAGACTAGTCACGCAAAGCACAGCAAGCTCAGGGTGGATCACAAAGTCACCACACAGTCCGAGCACAACGACAAGGCCACAAGGCCAGTTCACATGCAGGAGTGCACATATATATATAGAGCTAGACAAGCAAGAGCAGGTATATATATGTGACAGTACAAGCAAGGTCAAGAGGAGAGCAAGTGAGGCAAGACAGGTACAAGACCCAGCTGAGTGCAGAAGCGCTGATGGTCACAAGGCGCAAGTGCCTTGGTGAACACATCAGCAGTGTTGGCCTCAGAGGCCACGTACGCAAGTCGCAACTGACCACGCTGCTGCAGCTCACGAGCAAGAAAGTAACGGAGAGCAATGTGCTTCGTTCTGTGCTCCAAGCGCTGCTCTCGACACAAGGCCAGCATGGCCTTGTTATCTACGTACAGCACTGGAGGAGAACGAGGCGGCTCTCCAAGGTCAGTCAGCAGGTAGGTGAGCCAGCGAAGCTCCTGTGCAGCCATGGCCCCGGCGTAGATCTCAGCCTCCTGGAGCCGAGAACAGAGGACGAGCGAGTAGCCCGCCACGAGACAGAGCCGGAACCAAGACTGAAGGTGTAACCCTGCGACGACCGCTGCGTAGCCTGGTCGTCAGCCCAAGAAGCGTCCGCGTGCCCAGTGAGGACCACTGGACTCCGCCCTCCAAGCACTAGCCCCATGCCCGACGTACTGCACAAGTAGCGCAACACCCTCTTCGCTGCAGCCATGTGCTCTGGTCGGTGTCTCCCAGGAGCAACATAGCGTGCAAGAATGCTAAGAGGGTATGCAAGGTCAGGTCGTGTGCAGGTCATCAGGTACATGAGGCAGCCAACAAGCTCTGGGTACGGGCCACTCGACTCTACGGACTCATCCGAAGGCAGAGCTGAGAGCGAGTGGCGAGTAGACAGAGGAGTGGCCTGAGGCGAGGAGTACGTGAAGCCGAAGCGCTGAAGGACCTGCTGCACCATGTGTGACTGAGTCAAGGTAATGGTGCGGCGTGCTCTGTCCCGAGTGATCTGCAAGCCAAGGTAGCTGCGCAGTTCACCCAGGTTTGTGCACGTGTGTCTCTTCTGCAGCTCGGACTTCACGTGGGCGAGTCCAGCAGTGTCAGCTGTGGCAAAGACCAAGTCGTCGACGTACACGAGGATGTAGAACGGCGGCAAAGAAGTGTCGGTGCGCAGAAACAACGACGGGTCAGCCGTAGAGGGAGCAAAGCCAAGAGCCGCAAGCGTAGTCCTCAGTGTGTCGTGCCACTCACGCGGTGCCTGGCGGAGACCGTAGACTGGCCGTCGGAGGCTCCACTGGGTGCCAGTAGGGAAAGTCCCAGTGAAGCCAGGTGGACGGCGCAGCCAGATCTCCTCGTGCAGGCTACCCTGCAGGAAAGCAGTGCTGAAGTCAAGAGAGTGGAGCTCGTAGTCGCGCTGAGCGGCTATGTGCAGCAGCACCCGAAGAGTGGTCATCTTCGGGGTGGGAGAGAAGGTCTGAAAGTAGTCAACTCCCTGCCGCTGACTGAAGCCACGAGCGACGTACCGCGCCTTGAAGACAGGTGGAGAGCCCGGCGGCCGCTTCACCCTGAAGATCCACATGCCACTGACGATGTTCGCCCCAGGAGGGGGAACCGCGTCAACGTAGGTGCCTGTGGACTTCCAGGACGCCATCTCTGCATCCATAGCTGCCTGCCACTGAGAGGAGTAGGGACCCTCTACGGCCTCCGCGTAAGAGCGCGGAGTCGGGA